AAGACCTTCCCATTGCCCCCCGCCGGGGGTAAAAACAAAAAAACCCGGTAAAAAAAAAAAAAAAAAAAAAAAATAATAATAATAAATAAAAATAAGCAAATAAATAAATAAAGATAAACAAAATAAAATGTCTGCAGTGCTCCGAATGAACACGGGCTCATGCAAGTGTATGCGTACATGAGAGCTGTCTGGCCAGGAATCCCATGCCGATGGAGATGCTGAGATGCCTGCTAGGGGGTGGTGAGCCCAGAGTCGGCTAGGGAGTAGGTTCCCCACCGGATGCCCGGTTCCTAGCCCCTGGCCCATGCCATGCTCTGCCTGTGTGAGAAGACACCCTCTGGGATCCCCCCACTCCCTGCCCCAACCCTGAAGGCCAGAGGCCATGAGGCAGCTTCAGAGCTCACCCAGGTGGTGCTCTCTCCCAGCCTGACCTCCCTCCTGGTTTGAGGGCAGGACCTGGCAGGCTGCTGGTGGCAAGTGGAGGGAGTGGCCGGGAGGTAGCCAGGGAGATGGGCAGCTGCGGCCAGCAAACACACACGCCTGCAGAGAGCTGTGGGCCATCAGCTCGGGCTCCTGTCCACTGGGCTCCTCCAAGGCCAGGGTCTGTGCAGTGTCCCTGGAGAGCTCCCAGGAGACGAGGGCAGGTCCCTGGGTCCAGGGCTACTGCAGAGAACCCTCCCTCTGCCCCGCTCCCAACGCTAGGGTCAGGGGGAGGCAGTCAGGCTCCTGGAAAAGCCAGCCAGGAACAGGACCCTCTGAGGCCTGTGGTGACAGAGCCAGGAGAAGAGGCAGGCAGGGGCTGCCTTCCTCCATCACCCCAACTCTGCAACCTCCTCCCCACAGGGAGTCCCGGGAGAGATGAGGCTTTTGCCTTGTCCCCCTCTTGTTCCTGGTATTTTCCTTGCATCCCCTTTCCTGTCCTGAAGCCACTCCCTGCCCCAGCGAGGGTCTCCAAAATATTAACCATTCATAGCTGCCTACATTTCCCAGCTGCCAGCACCTCCAGGGAAGACAGTGGTCTTCCCTGCTATTCTATGTGGAGCTGGGCGGGATGACGGGCATTACCCTCGGATTGCAGAGGAAGCAACTGAGCTTCAGAGAGACCGCCCAGCTGGAAAGCAGGAGAGTCTTGGTCGGCTGGCCCCAGCGCTCCTCCCAGCCTGGCACTGAGCACCCCAGCACACCTACGTCTATGTCTGGATGGATCCCAAAGAAAGGACACAAGGCTCTGCCTGTCTTTGCTTCCCAGGCACCTCCCCCAACTCTCCGCAATCTCTCCTGAGCTCCAGCCAAGTCCAGCTGGATTCCAGCCAGGGCCCCACTGAAATCAGGTGAAATCTTAGGAATTCACCCAGGAGGCAAAGCCTGTGGCCTCAGAGAGAGGAAAGCAGGAGGTCAGGGAGGCTGTGGCTTCCTCCCCACCCCTAGGCCTTTCTCATTGGCCCCTCCCCAGGCCACTCACCTGCCATGTGGACTACAGCCGTGAGGATGGAGGGGAACCAAGAGGTCTCGCTGTTGCTGGCCTGGAACTCCCATTGCAGTTCAGTGAAGAAGATGCCAATACACGTGGGGAAGCCCAGGGTGAGGCCCTGGCTCACCACGGTGGCCAGCAGCACCACCCAGGCCCAGCTGCCATCTGCACGCTCCAGGGCCTGGGGCATCCTCTGCTGCTGATGCTGCCACGGCCTCACTGTCACTGTGACCGCTGCCTGGGGAGGGGACAGAATGGAGCCTGATGCAGGCTGCCTGTCTCTCCTGGCCCACCTGCCACCTTCTCCGGGCAGCTGAGGCTGTCCCTTCCTTATGCCCCAGTACCAGGTGTCACAGAGGGGCACCGCCCCTGGGAGGTGGCCAAAGGCCCACGCGTTGGCCTTGGCATCTCCTTTCACCCACTTCCCAGAGCCAGCCTGGCAGGAGGTGGCAGGAAGGTCAGGAGAGACAGGATGGGGCAGGGCAGGTGGCACCAGGCAACAGGGTGCAATTGCTTCTAATTGTCACATCACTTAGAAGTCAGCAGGGGACCTCCTGGCCCACTCAGTCACTGCTTATAGAATGCAGCAGACCTCTGGGGTAAGTGTGGTCCCAACGTCCCCAAATGCACACACGGATACATTTCAGACACTCATGCCCAGGCTTCCTGCATACGAACACAGGCTTTTGCAATGCCTCAGAAGCAGCGAAGTTACTATTGGTGCCGTTGTGAAGGCCCGAGTGAGCAGGCCGGTGCTGGGTGCAGCCACAGAGTGTACACAAAAGAGTTTAAGAAACACCCAACCGGCAGCTTTGGAGAAGGCTTGGGTCTCACCCACCCCCACACCCCCAAACCTTTCACACTGGCCCCTTTGCAATCACCCTGCAGCACAGAGCTCAAGGCTAAGACTCAAGTTCAGCGATCACACTGAGCAATGATCAACTGCCTGCAAGGGCTTCTCTGTGTACCCCCGCCACACACACACACACACACACACACACACACACACACAGTCACACACGGACACAGTCACAGCATACACTCAGGCAAGCACAGAGACATACAGACACATGCACACACACAGACACACACAGTCACACACACACAGATATCCACTGACCCACACAAAGACCACACAGGAACACAAATTCATATAAAGACACACTTACATAGACACAAAAAAAGTCCAGAGACACGAAGAGACAGGGACAGACCTGTACTACACAGACACGTAGACACTTACGCAAACAGAGATATACACCGTCACACACGATGCAAGCAGATGAACTCACACACAGAGGCACACAAGCAGGTACACAAGGCAGACGCACACAGTTACACATAGAGAAACACAGAGACCCACGCACATGTACAGACAGACATACCCAGAGTCACACACGCTAGACAGACACACACAGTCACACACTATGCGAACATGCACATGTGCGAAGACACACACACACACACACACACACACACACACGTCTCACATCTTTGGCTCAGCAAGGTACAGCCGGTCCCATCTTCGCTGAATACCAGCCAGGCCACTCTCATCACAGAAGCTGCCATCACCTGGCCTCCAAGGCCCAAGGTCCCCTCCCAAGTTTGGACCCCTTTTTCAACCCCCTCGAGTCCTGCCTCCTGTGCCCTGCCCACCCCCCAGACCTCACTGCCTGGGGGCTCTAGGCTGCAGCAGACGATACCTGGAGCAGCCTCCACCTCAGTGAAGCCCACACATCCCAGAGCTGCTGTTCCACAGCCTCCCTCTCTTTCACTCCAGGTCCTGGGAAGATCCGGAGAAACTCGGAAAACTACCAGAAATATGAAACCCCCTCTTCCTGCCAAGCCCAGCACCCCACCACTTCCCCCAGGACCAGGAGTTTTAAAGCCGCACCTAAGCCGGCTCCATCCTGAACTGCCTCCTTTTCAGTCTCCAATCCTCCGCCCTCCCAGAGGAGTGTGGGAGCCCTGCCAAGGTGAGTGTCCCCTTCATCACAGCCTGGGGTGAGAGGGTGCGTGACCCTTGTGCAGGGTGCAGCACTGCCTGCTGTCCTGCCCTCTGCATGGGACGTCTGGCTAGAGATCCTCCCAGCCTGGCCCTCCTCCTGGCCTAGCTTCAGGTTGGGAAACATAGCAGATGGGGCTTCTCCAGCAAACTAGCCCTCGCCTCTCCCAGAATTTCTGTTCCTTCAGCCAATGGAAAGGCCACAGACGCCACCTGATCTTATGTCTTGCCCCAATGTCAAGTTTCCAGCCCTGCTCCCTAGCTTGCCCCTCCACCCCAGCTCTTCCGCTCTCCCAGTTGACACTGTCACCTCTTCCTCCCGGAAAGGCCACAGCCTTCCTGGCTTTCTCCTGCCTTTCCCTGTTCCCTGACACCCAGCCCTGGCATGCCCAGGCCCCGAGACCCTGGCGGCATTTGGGAGGCCTGGAGGCTGGACCCCAGCCCCGCTCCCTCTCCCCGATGTCCAGCTCTGGTCCGTGTCCTGGTCTTGCTCCACCGTGTCCTGCCCTGGTGGGAAGTCTATGGAGAAGTCTCTTTCTCTGAGAAGAGCTTTTCTCAGCATCCATTTTTTGGGGCACTGTTTTTGGGGACTTTGCCCAGGCTTCTGTAACCTTCACTCTGAATTCCACCTTCCCTCCAGAACCTTTCAGTGGGGCTGGCTGTTCCTGAACAAGTCCTCTCTCCAGGCCCCAGGCCAATCCGAGCCCAGGAACCCCCCAAGCACCTCTGCACACTAGAAGCCCTGCCACTAGGCCAAGCACGGTGGCTCACGCCTGTAATGCCAGCACTCTGGGAAGCTGAGGCGCGTGGATCATGAGGTCATGAGTTTGAGACCAGCCTGGTCAACATAGTGAAATGCCATCTCTACTAAAAATACAAAAATTAGCCTGGCATGGTGACACACACCTGTAGGCCCAGCTACTTGGGAGGCTAAGGCAGGAGAATCGCTTGAACCTGGGAGGCAGGCTGTGGTGAGCTGAGATGGTGTCACTCCAGCCTGGGCAACAGACAGAGACTCTGTCTCAAAAAAAAAAAAAAAAAAAAAAAAAAAAAAAGCCCTTACGCCAAGGTCTGAGGACCCCCCTCCCCTACCTCCCTCTGGGATCCCCCTTGCAGACTTGGCCTTCCTGGTCTCCTTTCCCACTCCCAGCAAGTCCCAGCTCAGATACACGGTGTAGATGCCCAAACGGCTCTCCAGCCTTTCCTCCCAGCAAGCGGTTTCTCCTGCTGACCTTGGCTGCTGTGGCTCCGGAATTCTTAGCCAGAGAGAAGCCGATTTGTCCTTCAAAATTCAGCCCTTAGGCCGGTCTGGTAGTCAGTTATTTCAGTTGACTGTTCACAGGCAGGTACTGATCAAACTCCTTGTTCTATGTTTTCCCTGCTTCCCACTACCACTCCTGAGTAGTCTTAAAAGAAGATTCAGCCCTAGCAGCATCCCTGGGAGGCTACCCTGACGCCTACCCCAGGCTGGGCTACGCCCCCTTCCTGTTTTCTTTCTTTTTTTTTTTTTTGAGATGGTATCTCGCTCTGTCTTCCAGGCTGGAGTGCAGTGGTGCAATCTCAGTTCACTGCAATCTCTGCCTCCCGGGTTCATGCGATTCTCCTGCCTCAGCCTCCGGAGTAGCTGGGATTACAGGTGCAGGTGCCCGTATAAAGGCAGGTGCCACTATGCCAGGCTAACTTTTGTATTTTTAGTAGAGACGGGGTTTTGCCATGTCCACCAGGCTGGTCTTGAACTCCTGACTCAAGTGATCCGCCTGCCTTGGCCTCTCAAAGTGCTGGGATTACAGGCGTGAGCCACTGTGCCCGACCTGTTTTCCCACTTTAATAGTGGTCTCCACACCGCACTGGAGTGGATCATCCCCTTGTTTATTGCCGTCCCCCCCCCCCCCCCCCCCCCCCACACTATGAGCAGAACCTGTTCATGAACCCCCACCCACCCTCTGGCTGAGCACAAAAGAGGACAGGAACGTGACCCACCTGTGTTCCCCAGGGGGCGGGCGGGCCCAGGACCAAGGGCAATGCAGCTTCCAGGCAGGCAGGTCCATTCCAGACTCAAGCAGGGCAGAGAGGCGATGGGGTCGGGGCTCTGACTTGGCCTCTGCCCCAGCTGGGAAGTGGTCTTTTCTTTGTACTGGGAACCATGAGTCATGGTCACTGCCTGGTGTGTGCTTTGGGCAAGGAAGGACACAGTGCAAAATGCTTCACTCTCACTTCCAGGACTAGGGGCGAGGCTGGGCCCCAGGGGCTGCCAAGCTCAGCTCTCAGGGACCCTCAGGCCCAATGAGACCAGCTTTATAGCCAAGTGCCATCAAGCTGGGTGTGTGAGCAGGGTGAAATTTAAATCATATTTCTGGTCCTTCTCCCATCTCACAGAAGCCCAGCCTATGTTTTCAGGGCGCCTCATCTGATAGGCCCTGGGAATCCTTTGTTTCTGGAGCTAGAAGGCCTAGTCACAGGGGAGAGCTGATGCTCTCATGCAGGGGTCTGGGGCTAGGGGCCTGGTGTCCAGAGCCGAGGGGACTTCCTCTTCGTCTTCCCTCCTCTCCTCCCATGGTGAAAGAGCCTACGGCTGGAAATGAGGCAGGCCCTGGGGACCCCTCCCTCCCCAGATCCCACATCAGGCAGGCTCCTCAGCTGGAGCCCAGGACCCAGGCCGGCAGCAGAAGGGCTCCTGCCCAGCAGAGAGCACCAAGGGCAGGCTTGACCTTGGGAATGAGGAACCCTCAACCCTGTGGCTGGCTGGGGGAGGAGGGAGGCGGCCCCAGAGGTGGACTAGCTGGGGCAAGTCACTCTCTCCCTTTCCCTTGTCCCCCCACATTCCCTGAGGAACCAGGAAGGGTTTGGGACAGGCAACGGAGGGAGACCTCATGCCATACTCTCGCCCTGCCCATCCCCACAGTCCTGCCTCGGAATCTGGTTTCCACTGGGGTGTTCCACCCACCCTGGGGCAGAGCTCCTCCGAGTGGGGCTGCTGGGATCCCCAGCTGCACCTGCCTTGAAATGCCCAGCCAGGAGTCCGAGCGCCCTCGGGCGTGGAGGTCATCACCCAGGCCCCGGGGCACACCAGGACTGGGACAGGAAGACTTTTCTAGATCCTCACTGAGCCTGCCCAGACAGGAAGGGTCCAGGGGCCCCGGCAGGGGGTCTGCGACGGCGCTAGAGGGCACCGGGCGAGAAGGGAACCCCTCCGAGGCAGTGGGACCCGGGGAGCCCGCTCACCCTCTCGCAAGGGCCCAGAGGAGACGCAGCTCCGCTCCCCCAGGCGCCGCGTCCTGCGGCCCGGGCCGGTCGCGACGAGGATGTTGGGACTGGGCCGAGCGCCGCTGCCCGAGAGGGCGGGCCCAGGGCGGCGCGGGCGGGACCCACCTTCCAGCCTCCCCGGGATTCCGTCGGGTGGGGAAGGGGCCAGGCTTGGGGAGGGGCGGCGGGCGTGGCCGGGGACCGTCCAGCACCCGGGCCCGGCTCCTGCCGCAGGCGCCGCGGGACATTCGCGTGTCTGAAATTTGCACAGCCCGGATGCCCTCTTTCCGGGTTCTGGTTTCCCCGCTCAGGGTCTACGGCCCTGGGCTTGGGGAGGAGATAACTTGCCATAAAGAGACCACACCTCCCAGGAAATGGGGTGGGGAAGGAGCCGAGGCCGAGGCTGAGGATCCCTTCTTTTCGCGCTTTCCCAGCCCAGGAACCCTTCCAATGAAAGTCTCGAGCTTTGAGGGCTGCGCCTGCGAGTGGGAGTCCAGGCAGTCCGATGTAGGGGAGCAGGCCGACCCCTCAGCCCTGGGAGCCGGTGAGAGAACACCCAGCACCTGTGCATGAGGTCGTCACAACTACAGGCCCTTTTCAGGTTTCTCACCCTTCCCCTACCTGGGCAGCCCTTGCGCATTAGTTAAAATGTACTCAGTTGGCCAGGTGCTGTGGACACGTCGGTAATCGCAGCACTTTGGGAGGCCAAGGCGGCAGATCATGAGGTCAAGAGATCGAGACCATCCTGGTCAACATGGTGAAACCCCGTCTCTATTAAAAATACAAAAAATTAGCTGGGCATGGTGGTGCGTGCCTGTAATCCCAGCTACTCAGGAGGCTGAGGCA